TGAAGCGAAAAGTGTGAACCCGTAGTACAGTAAAAAACGGATTTCGAGCGCAACAATATGTACGTGAACAACATAAGCAATACTCTGCCCGATCAAGTAAGACGTTACAGTGTATTTGCATTGCATATCCTGAATCACCAACTGTCTCTCAAATTTATGGAAACAACTGAGCAAATGACCGAAGTCTCTTTTGAAGCTATATGATAGGCTGTGGGAGAATTTTGCATGCACTAAAACTCAATGTTCGAGTGCATAAAGGAACGACTAAAGGGAGATGGAAGGGCGTAAAAGTAGCCAGAGAACAAGTGCACATTTAATTTTTACAGTATAAAACAGTTCATCACTATATCGAACCCAGAATATTTTAGTCACACAAAAGTACACAAATAATTTTACAACTGAGCGACATACGAAGCCAAATGGACAGATATTTCGCGATGCTGTGATGTGCAGAAAAAACTTTGTACGTGACAAAACATGGGCGATAACACCCTTTGCTGCAACAAGCATGTGTCCGGAGGTGCATGCCATTCAATGAAGAAATTCCACTCGCACGATTAAAACTATCTCGTAGTGACTGCAGTTGTCATTTAACCAAGTTGCATTGCACCCTGAAGTATCATACCGCAATTTGTGAGATAACGGCGCGAGTGCAGGTGGAACATGCAGAAAGCGAAGGCCATGGAGGACGGAAAGCTGAAGAGAGGGCCTCACAATACGAGATGCAGAGCGAAAAGTGTGGCGGAAGTCTCGTGCTTTTGCAGGGGGATCGGGGGATTGTGGGTGTAAGTGGGATCAAGCCGGCGTCTCGTTCGTCTCGTGTCGTCTGTTATCTTGTCTGTATCATCCCTCGTATGACCACATTGTTGATAGCCGGCTGGAGTTCTGAATGTGCATTTTTATGCAGCAGTTGCACTTCGAAGACGATGCAATATGTCGGAAGCCTACAGTGAGAGTTGGTCTTCACGAATGTGAGCTTATTTTATATCGCTTAACGTCGACAACAGTCGTAAACGAAGCTTGCGACCACCTCTTCGAAAATGGTTGGCCCAACCGCTTCAATGTTTTCCTTCGGCACTGTGCTTTTGCGCGCCTCAGCGAACGAGAACGGCAGCATCTGGGGCTCCAGTGCGAGAGGCGGCGGTGAGCTGTTCTCGTGTACGACGGTCACAACTATCGAGAAGCAGTACGTGGCCCACTGTTCTCGCCCGAGCTTGCCAAGTAAAGAATTGGAAGTGCCTGACAGCAGAGGGTGAATTACTGTTTGAATTATCGCTTCATGTTTGCGTTTTGTGCGCAGTAACCTCATTCTTGGCCAAGGTGTTTTGACGTATCAAACAGGCCCAAAAGTTTAGATTTCAGTTTCTAATAAATACAAAAATAGATATTATGTGTCTAACGTACCCTTTGTATCGGGTGGACTCGGTATAAGTGTCTTAGCCCCAACTGTAAAAAAGAAAAGGTGAAAAACGCACATACACGCAAAAGTCAAAATTCACAGGTCGATTTTATACTGCACAAGAAAGCATGGCGCCAAGATGGATGGATGGGTGTATTGATATGGCTGTACCCTTTAGATCGGGTGGCGGCTAACGCTACCAAACCGTAATACTTAGTGAACCAAAAACTAGATTTATCTTTTTTTTTTCCTCTTTTAAATAGTGAAGTTGAGAACTAGTACTTTGCAGTGAAGGGTTTAATTTTCACTCGTGCCTTGACTTTAGCCTCCAATCAGATAACCTCCTTCTAGTTAATTCTACCCGCTTAAAGTCTATTTTGCCCTCCCTGTCCCTAAATCCCAGTGCTTTGAAAAACTATGCGCCATCATCCTGAACTATAGAGTGAACCCCTTTACAGAACAATATGAAGTGTTCGGCAGTTTCTTCCTCCTCCACACGCACAGCATACCGTGTCTACCCCTTCGTATTTGGCCCGATATGTCTTGGTTCTCCCGTAATACTCCCGTTCTGGCCTCAAACAGTAGAGAATTACCCCGAGTATTATCATAGATCCTTTCCTTGGCAATTTCCTGCTTAATAGTTCGATGGATCTCTAGTGCAGACTTCTTAATCATGTCAGTTTACACATCGGTCTCTGTTTCTTCACCTTCTTCTTAACCAATAGTTCTTTTTGGTTTGGCCCCCTGCAGTTTTATAAGCATTAACCCAATTTGTATCGACATTCTTCATGTACAAGTAGCTGGAAACCTTCTTAGCCCAATGCTCCTCCCCCTCTTCTCTCACTCGCTTCTCAAATCTCATTTTGCTGCTAGCTTCCCTGCCCTTAAATGATGTCCATCTCATATCACCTTGTACTTCGTGATTTGGTGTATTTCCATATGAGCTCCTGAAGCAAGCCTACCTAATCCACATTGCTTAATTTCTAATCTTGTTTGAACTTCTGATCTCATGCACAAGACCGCATTGCCAAACATCAGACCACGAACCATCACCCCTTTTCATATTCCTCTCACAACATCATAGCTATTGTAATTCCACAGTGCCCTATTTTTCATCACTGCTGCATTCCTGTTACTTTTAGTCGTTATGTATATTTCGTGTTCCCTTAGGTACTCGGTCCCATTGCTTATCCATACACCCAGATATTTGTATTTATCTGTTATCTCTAGCGTGACCTCCTGTATCCTTCATTATCATTAAATTATCATTATCACTACCTTCATTACCATTAAAAATCATGACCTGATTTTTCCTTACTGAATCTGAAATCTAGCCTATCTCCCTCATTACCGCAGATGTCCATCAATCTCTGCAAATCTTCCTTGTTGTCGGCCATTAGCACTATATCATCTGTGTACATCAATGCTGGTAGTGCCTGATCAATGAGTTTTCCTTGTTTTACGAAAGAGAGGTTGAAGCCAAGTCCACTCCCTCTAATTTGGCCTCTAATCCTTGTAGGTACATCATGAATAACAAGGGTGAAGGAGGACACCCCTGCCTAAGCCTCCGTTTTACCTCCGTGGGCTTGAATACCTGTTTTTCCCACCTTGTTACTTTTATGGATATCTTTTAAAAGATAAATGACTCCATATTTCACACCTAGTGTGTCCAGTATTCCCCACAAGTCTTCTTGAACCACACTATTGTACACTCTCTTGATAATCAAAAGTGCTAGCCACAGGGCCTGTGTTCCTTTTCTGCTATTTCGATGCACTGCATCAGTGAGAACAGATTGTCTTCCAACCTCCTGTGTTTCCGAAACCCATTCTGCAGTTCCCCCAGCACCCCCTCATCCTCTACCAATGCCTGCAGTCTTTTCTTTATAATCTGCATCGCCAGCCTGTAGACCACTGATGTCACTTTTATAGGACGGTAGTTCTTTATGTCAGCTTTGTCCCCCTTTGCTTTATAGATCATGCTAATCCTGCTTAGTTTCCATTCATCGGGGACTTCACCATCGATTATTGTTTTGCTCATTGCCTCTCTCAAAGTCTGCTTAGACTTTGGACCCAAAGTCTTTATCAGCATAATTGGAATGCCATCTGGGCCTGTTGATGTACTACTAAGAACCCTCTTCTGAGCCCTTTCCCACTCTCGTTGGGAAAATGGAGCAATTGCGCCACTTGATCCATCCTTGTCTGTTGTGGTGCATAAGGCAGTTCTCTGTTGAAATTTTTCTGTCACCCTTGTTCTTATATATTCAATAGCTTCGTCCCCTTCTAGCCTAACACCTTGAGCAGTAGTAATACACCTCTGCTCTAGGCTTGTCTCATTTCTTAGGGAGTTTAGATATCTCCAAAATTTCGCAGCTGCCTTTCTGTCCTTTTTATGTACTTCTGCCAGCCACTGAGCCCCCTTTCTTCTAATCTTTTCATTGATCAGAAGGGATGCTTCCCTTCTACAGCTTAGAAAGATTCCCCATTTTCTTTCAACTTCATATGTCTGTTCACCCCGCAGCTTAGCTTGTCTTTGTTCCCTAGAGGCTTCCTGACGTTTTGTTATGGCTCTCTTAACTTCCTCATTCCACCAACTCATGGGTTTGTGTCTTCTTTTCCAGATAACTTGTCAAGTGCCTTAGCAAGCTGTAGCTCAAACAGTCTGATTAGATTCGTGTATGTCCACGTGCTGTGGCCAGACACTGCAGCCCCCTGAACTCCCTTCTCGCCAGGTCAATCCCGCCTGTCGCCTTCTCCGCTACCCATGCCTTCCGTCTCACACCGCTCGGGGCCGGGGCAAAGCGCCATTAGCTCTTTTAGCCGCTGCTCGAGCTTGGTCCGCACTTCCCGTTCTTTTCGAAGGTCGCCCGTCATTTGCTCTAATAGGCTGGCGGTAGCCTCCTCCCTCTCACGCGACGCTCCGAGCTGTTTTTGGGGTTCTGTCCTCTGCTCCAGTTCCGCCCTAAGCTCTCCCAAAAGCCCCTCGATGCTAGCCTCCATGCGCTGCACGGCCCTCGCACAGCCTGTACACTAAGCTCGCCTTCCGCGCGTCCGCCAAACTCGTGAATGCTGTCTCGTCCAAGTAGCACCAGCGCTTGCATTCTTCGCACTGCACTAGCTCACTTTCGCCGGTGGTTTTCCTAGCCTCCTTAGCCATCGCCCGCCCGACCATCGGACATAGCGCCCGACAGCCCTAAGTTCAACCCTAATCTCACTATCCAGCCGCCTCCACTAACTCTCCTACCTCAACAACTGTTTGAAGCTGCCGTTTACACCGCACACAGACGTGTTTAAATTCACTAGTAGCTTCTCAAAATGTCCACTTCGTGTTCGTACAACTAACCGAGCGCACCAAACTTCTTCAAAACAGCCGCCTAGCCCGTTCACGTGGTCAACGTCACTGCAACGTTGCCCGTGTTCCACACGCACAGTAGCACTCGCAACGCAAGTTATTGAATAGGAAAGAAAAAAAAAAGTAATAGTGTTCACAAACACAATTAAATGAAAGAAAACTTATCTCTCGTTGCGCGCTGCTCATGCACCAACCGACCTGCTCGACCTTGCAGGCTTGCACCAAGCCAGAGAAGGCCAAGCACCACCTGTTTCCTGTTGCTGTTATGGCGCCTTCCTAATCAACTTTTTCGTATCTCCATTTTCAACTCTCAGGCATTCCTAGCCCTGTTGTACATCACATTGAGCAATATATATGCACAGGGGTAAATATATACACCGGTTATTAAAATATTTATCACCATGTGGCAGATCAAACATCGATAACTTGATCGAGAGGCCCGGACTCCAGCCCACCAGACCAACTGCTAGGTGTTCTGTGACCAGACATCTGAAGGTAATCGAAACGCCGCTACATCCTGCATGGATTCCTGCGATCTGTGTAGGAAGGCTAATATGTGTTGCTTTTACCACAGTCCCTTCTTTTACGTACAGAGACCGCTGTCTCTGCGCCCGAGAACAGTGAAAGTGAGAAGCGAGCCGCGCAAACGCCGGCAAGATAACCCAGCAACGTCTTCTCCTCCTGTGCCCTCGTTTGACGGTTTTCCACCTTTCTCGATGGGCACCCACCAGCAAGTGCAACTTTATCTCCTCCTTCGTCTCACTCTGGTTCACTATTCGCCGTGCTTCGAAACATCGCATTCGTTTCGTCTGTGTATAGAGGACGCCGAGAAAGACGCGAGCACGGCTCATACTATGCAACAACAGGAAGCCCCTTTATTCGCCACTGCTTCTCTGCTATATACCTCACGTGAGGCCTCGGCGCCATCCATTGGAAGGTAGCATAGCTCTCAGCGTCCACTACAGTCTGCACCTTCAGCTCGTGCAACACGCAGCACATTGCATTTGCTTCGTTCGTACACGTTCGCACCCCGCCATCGGAGGTGTTCCTGGAGGCTCGTGTGTGATCTGCAGTGTGCAGTAACGCTGATTTTTTTGTTTTTTTTTTCTGTATCGCGAGAGGCAATTCCTTGCAGCAAAGACTGCACGCATCATGCGTTGTTGCATTCGTGCTTGAATAACCTACGACAAACCCCAGCAGTTAAAATCTTGTTTTTTTAGGGGAAATGCGCAAGTGCGACCGTGCAGACAACAGTTGGTGCAGGCTATCTCGAGCGGACGTGCCCATGGTGGTCTGAAAAACACATCTGTTTATTGCATTTGTTTTGTTTTTCAGATACACGAATTGCTACCTATGGATGCTTGTCTGCAAGCACATGTAACTAAAGAGGTGCTAAATAGGATGGCTTGCTTCAGCGTGTTTAAAATGTCATTGCATTGCGAACGCATCAGATTGTTTGCACAAAACATAGAACACATTAGAATGGACTACCAACTCTTCCAACTTTTTGGTACTGTAAATTTTACTTGTGTTTCGCTATTAAAAAACTGAACACTGCTATTGCTTAATGGAATGGTCATGCAGGACAAAAAGTCATCACAAAGATACCTCACACTTATGGCCTATGACTCCTAGAATATCACAATTCTTCATAGAGGTCTGGCGAGGTCCCAGAAAAACAGAAGCAGGCCAAAATTGTGGCAATATTAAAACCAGGTGGGAAGCCGACAAGGGGCATCTATTTCCGGCCCATCGCCCCACAAGTAGCATTGGTGAGCTTACGAAGCAAATTATCCACAGACTGTTGACATGCTATACCAACTTCCTCAAGAATTGTATGAGTTCTGCTGAAGGAGGTTGCTATCAATACATTGCCCACGCTCATCTTTTCACTTCAGAAAACCTATGCGCTGGCCGCATCTTAGAAGCCGTCTTCGTGTACATAAAAGCAGCATAAGACCCGGCCTTTCACCATGCCGTTCTCGCAGACATGGTTAGCCCTTCTCTGTGGACAATCACTGCTCTATGTACGGTCTCAGATATTCCTCAGGGTTGTGATCGACAGAAATCTTTCCTAGTCACCTCATCTCAAGGAACATTGTGGGAGATTAGCTAAAGCCTTTGAAATCTTCATATTCATGTTGGGAGTATGATGGGCATGCGAATCCTACTTAGTGGAACTACTTGAGAAAGCATATTTATTGAAGGTACGTTGATCTATTCCCTATGGGTTTCTTACAGGTTGTTATCATCAAACAATAGGACTCTGCAAACCACATGGAACCACCGCCTGCGAATTCGGCCAGGCATCGTAAAGGGTTCATCAGTCTCGGGAACTGTTGCAGAAGCAAAATAGCTCCAGCTAGATGTCATTTATAATGCAGCACTTCCTCATTGCGAGGGCTCTAACACTTCCAAGAGGTCGTGCAAGTGTTGTGTAAGCAGTTGTCTGCACATGATTTTTCGCCATCAACATCCAAAGTGGCTATTGTTGTCAAGCCATGGCAGCATCGGTTTAAATATAGTTAATCAGCATGGCTCACTAATGATGAATTCCACTGGTAGATCTGGAGCAGCCTCTGAAATTCTGGAGCGAGCACTCTGATTGTGCCAAGCCTGATCAGCGAGTGGAGTACGTGAATGCCCCGCGTGAGGTCGCACTAGAAGTTGTTTACACATTTGTACTAAACCGGTACTGGAAACCATCTCCTTCTCTACATTTCCATGGCCACTGTGTCGCCGCTGCAAAGCGTGGAGTTCGACTGCAGTGTAATTCTACAACGCAGACATGGAAAGCAGGGGTACTGCTTTCCCAATTTAGGAATGTGAACAACTGCACAGGGTAACTACACAACGCCTCAAAAAAATGCTGAAGTATATCTAGCTGCCCGACTGCACCAGAAATGATAGCACCACATTTTCAGAGTTCCGGCGAAATAAGTGTCTGCAAGACGAAGCACGCTGGATTCTTTGTCGCGAGGTATCCTCCAAATCTGCCAGTGGAAAAATCGAACTTGCTCCGAATCTACCAGCGAAATGCAGATTCTCGGCTTGCTCCCACTTTAAGAGTGGAATTCGCCATAAGATGAGGTAACAAATGCACTCGGTTTCCTTGTCTAAATGTTCTCATTCCATATTCAAGGAGGCTCCTTTTTTAGTAGAACCTGACTTTCAATCAGTTTGTAAACTTTAATTTTCACTAAAAACAAACTACCACACTGAAGAGAAGTAACCTCACAGAACTCAGCCTAATTACAGGTTGACAGAGCCCCAGCCATGCAGAGGTGGTGAAAGCAGGGTACAGCTCTCAAATTTTGCTTCACAAGAAAATGTAAGTGCACATACATGTCTATTTAGACGATTTTTCACACTCAGATTTGTACCACAATGTACAAAGTGTATGCACATATGCCGTGAGGTTAACAGATGTATGCAATGAAAAAAAAAATTCTATGCAGAAAGGGATATAGAAAATGCATCTTACTACAAGTACACAATGATCTGACTAACACAAATAGAAACAGAAAGTGTCTTGAAACATATCACAGAAGGCATATTAATTTTTTTATGTGTTGTTCTCTGTTTTCATTTTTTTGTTCGAAATAAATTGGCTATTTGTAGCAGGTCATCGTAATAGTATGTGGATATGGGACACATACATGTCCCACATTGGCCCCACGTATTGTATGGTTTTAACAAGTGTGGAAGAATCTGGGTGTTGATGACCAAAGGCATAGAAAGCATTGATTTGCAGAAGGTCCGAAAGACAGTAAAAGGTATGATTTGCAAACCTCTTGTAAGAGCATTGTACTTGTATGATATCCTAACAATTTCATGTTGTTTGAAAATAGGTGCAGCATGTACTAGGAAGGAAGCATTTATATCCGCTGGTGTTGTGCAACATCTTTTCCTAGTCCTCACCCCTCAGTGCACTGCTAAAATCTAGATTAATCTGTACCAACTCGCTGAAGTTTCGATTCTCTTGAAGCATTTGTAATTGCTCACTTTATTTTTCTGTAACAAGCTCAGTTTTGAATAATAGTTGCTTTACTTTCATTCTATACCAGCATTTATACAGCCGGCCCAGGAATCGGTGCTGTCTGTGTGTTTCTCGTTACTACAGTGGTGCAGTCATCGAAAGGCTTTGGTGAACTCCAGCTCTGACACGTCTTCTTGAGGGCCGTTGTGCCAGCTTTCTCGCTGCCGGAGCCCTACCAAGCGGCCATCCTCGGCAAGTATCGATCCCACCAGCAGCGGTCAGTGTCCAGGCCTTCATTGTGCTGTCGCGGAACTTGTCCGGTGACACTATTTCGCGCAAGCCATGCACACAGGCTCTTCATGCATATGGACAGTGTACATGCCTCCTCGATACTTGGCAACCTGTCAGGCACTATTCGTGAACGACATCCAGGCCTCCTCCGCGGCTCAACACCGCTTCATTGACGCTACAGTGCCAGTTCACGACACATCACATGGGTTCCGCTCGTCTGGGAAGATTGTTGGCATTTCCAATGGTATGAATCCCATGTCCACGATTCTGACCAATGCTTCGTTTTCAAGGGATGTCATGCATGCGTACTTGGTCATTAATTCTACCACCATGAGGACCATAGTCGCTGTATCCTATGCAGATGCTGGCCCTGTCTCTCTAACCAGATTATCGGACAGCACCGCAGAGCTGCAGCACACCATTGCTTATCTCTGCGTCACGACTAACACTTTAATAGCGTCAAGTTCGAAACTCTCACTTGCTGCCTTGCCAATATTGTGTGCACACAGTGCCATGTTGGCTGCATTCTTGAGGCAAGCCCACCCAAGAACTGCAGAAAGAAGTTCCCTCACGGAGCTCTCAGACCAGCTTAGCTGCTTGCCATCGGCACACTCTGGATTCTCGCCTGCGGCTTCAGGATCGTCAGCTGTCTGGGCAGTGCAGAGGTTTCGCAGCTTCCAGGACGACGTCTTTGGTTGGATAGAATATGTCAACTTGCTCGGCATCCTCCACGCCTGGCCGGAGCATCGCAAATGGCTCATTGCCATCGACCACCTCCATGATGCTGCCAAAGCATGGCATGCCTACGAATGCATCACACAATGATCCTGCAAAGAATGGTGTGCAAAACCGACAAGTGTTTTTCGACCTCTTCTTAATGCCTGCAACCACTTTTCTGCAGTCCAAGTGTCTACCACTTACAAAAGCTGCGAAGCAGAAAATTTTAATGGTGCAGCCCTTGAAGGCACCGATGTGCCCTCAAGCCCACGTGAATACTCTACAAGACAGCTCGCGGAAGCGCAAGCTGCACTTTGCTGCCAGTCTCCGCCTCTGCACCTTCCTGACGTAATCGCATCACAAAGCAAAGTCAATGCCACTACTCGTCCAGCGCAGTTGGAGGAGCGAGCTCCTGATTTGCCGTCGCAGGAACGTGTGCAGTCGCCGGCTCCAGTCGTGCATGGAAAGTCTCCAGTGCAGGCACCGGAAAAACCTATTGCTTCCATTGCCAAGCTCGTCGACCCGCTGGAGTGCATCATCTCCAATGTGCCACTGTTTAGCAAGAAGGTTCTCGGAGACCAGTGCACTAATGTTGCGACAACGCTAATCGACCGGTCTGTTGATGAGCCAACTTTTTCAAAGATGCCTAGGTGGGCCTCTCACTCGATGCACCCAGTGTGACCCAAGGAGTGCCTCCACATCTTTTGGACGACAATGAAGAAAAATACGATCTCTGTGATTAGCGTCAAGAATGTGCCTGAAAAAAAAAATTTGTCAGTTTCCATAGAGCCACGGAAGATATTTTTCGACCTGACTGTCCTGATAGCAACAATGATCCGGATGCAAACAGATTTCAGGAATACTTGAGACAGACACACCGAGGAAACATGCCAACCAAGTTGACTGTTCAGATGTGGATCCGGCACTTTCCTCTTGGCATGTTACTTAGCTGATGCCTGCAGCCTGATCGGTGGTCGACAGATGGTGTAATGTTGCTGAGTGGCCGAGGTCAACCGCCTTCAGCACAGCCAATATCGCGCCCCAGAATGTCTGGGGCTAGGCAAAGCGAGTCATGGCCTTCACTGGATCAACCATCAGGATACATTAAGTTCGGCTTCGCCAGAAACAACATTGGCACCTCATCCAACCAAGTCGCTGCGCGACCGCGACAGACAGGCATATCAAAGTCAACACCACCCTTCAGAGGTGATTTTGCAGCTGTCCTTTCCATGTCACAGCGTGGCCAAGTGTAAGGAAGCAAGAGCGGCGCTCTGGCACTTGTGCGAGTTTGGTTACCGAGAAGAGGAGAAATAGGAAGTCAGATGAACAGCCGGCCGGCAGGAAAGCATTGTCTCTTTGTCTCATTTTTCTACTACAGTAGACTCTCTATAATTCAAACTCTGATAATTCATACTTCTAGTTAATACAGACAGAAGTAAATTTCTTGGTTGGCCCTTACTCTTTCAGTGTATTTAAAAGCTTCTTAATTCAAACTCCTTCATTAGATCAATTCATACTTTCTGCAGGTTCACACAAGAAAAAAGTCTGCTTTCCCACTAGTATTTAAAAAATTGTGTGCCTAAGTAATCCTAACAGTCTAAATATGACAGGTCGCGGGATCGAATGCCGGCTGCGGCGGCTGCATTTCCGATGGAGGCGGAAATGTAGGCTTGTGTGCTCATATTTGGGTGCGCGTTAAAAAACCCCAGGTGGTCGAAATTTCCGGAGCCCTCCACTACGGCGTCTCTCATAATCATATGGTGGTTTTGAAATGTTAAACCCCACATATCAATCAATCACATCAGTCTAAAAATAAAAATAAGCACCTGAGACCTTCAATGAAAAAGGCTTTGCAAACAAATGTTTGAAATGAAGCACACACATTGTAAACCGTGATGCTTATCGACTCGTATGGAGAGCTTTTGCTGAAGGCACATACCTATAGCAGTGAAGTAGTTGGCAATTTACGATTTTTTTAAAAGGTCTGATCAGTAGTAAATGACCAATACCTCTGCTTTCTGTGTACTGTATGCAGTTAAAGATTAAAAACACTTAAAAAAATTTTTTAATGTGACAAAATCAATGCCTAGTGATAATGTGTGGGGTCACCTCACCCACAGTCACCTATCTGAGAAATTCTGATAATTCAAACTAAATTCAGAGGTCCCTTCGAGTTTGAATTAAGTCGACTATATATATATATATACATACATTCATACATACGTGTGTGTCCTTAAACGTTGCAGATTGTAGTAGGCAGTTATTTCAAACACAACATGCCTTTTAGTGCAATTTGTCTCAATGTTCTGGCCATGGGCTGGGAATAATGGTCTTGCACAAAGTTCTCTGACAAAGGCCAGTCCCATGGTCGAAATACCCACATATTGTCACGGGGTCGTGATATGGACCAAGGGAGCAGATTCGATGTTTAGATGAAAACTGTTTATAGTGCTAAAATGTACATTGGTTCTCAAATACGTGTGTGCGTGTGTGTGTGTGTTGTGTGGTGTCTTTTATGAATTAAGAAAAAATATTTTAATGCTGCCTTTATGATTGCTTTGCCTGTGGCAGCAGACGTCTTGAGCTGAGTAGAGGCACCACTCATGATAGGAATTCAGTTAACTACACGGGGCTAAACTCAGGGACAAGTTTTCGTGGCATGAAGGGAAATCTACGGGGGCGGAGCTGCTGCACATGTACTCCTCTGCGAAGTAGTCCGGCTAGACCCGCTTTCCAAATAACAGTCGTGTTCGAATAATACCTCAGCGTAGAACTTGCTGCGTCTGCTAACACAGCCATTTGTGAATGAAATTCGACACAAGCTCCTTGGGCGAGTCGTCGGAATAGCTGGAGAGAGACGCGCACTCACCTAAAGACGAAGACACCATTTTGACTAGGAGAGAGAAACTTTTATTTTGATTTTGACTATGAGGCGCACGGAAAATTTACTACGTTTTCGGACTTGCAAAATGCGAAATTAAACTTCGTAAGGCAAAAGAAATTATAATATCTCCTTGGTTATATCAGGGTCTCTATATAAACAGCATCCTGTAGAAAAATAATGTTGTTCTTTATGTTTTTTGCATGCAAAACATAGACGCATTTGTGGAACTATATTCTTCAGCGGTGGCACACACCCACTTTGGTTCCGTAGCCTTCATTGCCACAAAAAAGTTATCCGATTATAGGGAACATTGCAACTGTAATTACTGTTAGACAGGCACCGCTGCCACAACTGATGTTAGGCAACCGTACATGTAATACATTTATTTATGATTTGTATTGCATGGCTGCTGGCTAAGGCCCATTACTTCACATTTTATAATGTTCGTCTGCTACATTAATATTGCCAGCTGTAACTAACGGTATGTCTTTCTATGAGTGAACCCAGTCAAAGTTTTTTATTAAGTTACGAAAATCTATTTCCCTGTTAATAAATTTATGTAGACTGCGAATCATCTGTGGTGCATGCTCACACACCATGGGCTATGGTATGCAGATATGTATCACACATTACTGTGAGAATAGGTTTATGGCATACATTACAGCATTTCATGTTATTTGCCATGACCCGAGGTTTTTCACCTGTTTGCAAAGTGCTTAGTTGGGTTTTCGGCGAGTTGCTGCACATTATATTTGGTCAGGTAATTGAATAAACAGATATGCAATGCTCCTAGTCCTACAGTTGGAGATTCTGGAAATGCATGAAGTTCAAAGCTGCGATTCTGAACATTCAATGGTGGACATACTTTATTACGCAGTTCAAGGTGCAGATCTATGAAATGCCTGGCTGGTAGTGCTTAGTGGGGCCAATTGGCAAAAAATAAGGAATAAAATTAAAATTAACCTTTTCTGATTACTTCTGCCAAATTGTTCATATTCAAGGCTGATAAGACATTTGTAATGTAATTTCCGAGCTCTAATATTTTTTAGACCTGGTTTAAAACGTAGGTGTTCTAAAATTTTGAATAGCTTTAGTGCTTTTCAGGTCAAGGCAAATATCAAACTATCCGAATTCAACGTTCAAAGTATCGAAGATTTGCTCGCCCCTAGCATTTACTTAAGAAGTAATCACTCGACTACTAAGAAATGTAGTTTATTACAGGTAAATGTTTTCGCGAGCCTGGTTGATACACAGCGGCAAAAGCTTTTGTGGGTGGGCTGTGTGCATTCGGGCCATCTTTAACAGCATTCTCTCTCCTTTTGCAGATGTGTATCCATTCCTTCTATCCATTCCTTCCTTCTATGGAGCATCGTAGATCTCGCATGCTTCGGACAGTTGCACAAGGCCATCACACTTTCACAAATGTCGCACATTTCTTAACTGTTATGCAGCTCTTAGATTGGTTGTGTGCTTGAGATTGTGACAGTGATGTGATCATGTTTACTGGCTGCTGTGTTTGATGCCTCTGGTGTTAAGCTGAGAAAAATGTCTTGAGCACAGTACCGCGGCACTTTGTAAGGGTGAATTGCTATTGGCACTGCAGCTTGCTTATTGCACTGCAATATAATGTATATTAATGGGTCATTTACAGTTTGCATATGTTAATGTGTAACTCACAGCAGGAAGATTGTGTTAGCTTTTTCTTGCTGCATCTAGCTTTTGTTTGTTTTTTGTTCTTATGTCGTGCTTTCAAATTGACGTGATCTGAAAAGAAACACCAGCCTACCTACTTGAATCTATTTTTCTTTTCTCTGTTGCTCTAACCAAGGAATGTAATTGCTCCTATATGCAGTTATATTCTCTACCACCATGAAACATTGGAGCATTTTCACATCGATGACTTTTTTTTTTTGTGAGATCTTTTTTGTATGTTAGAATAATTTGGTTTTGTTCTTACATTCAATATCAGTTGGTGCTTTTGGTATGCTTATCACAAGAATATTTTTATACCTAATTTGCATGGGATTGTATGTTTTCCAATGCAAGAGATTGAATGAGCTTTAATTATTTAAAGGGGCCCTGCAACACTCTTCGAGCATGGTCAGAAAATGCTGCCGATGGGTGGTAGAGGCCCCAAGAGGCAATTATTTTCGTAAGGCAATGAGCTCTTTTAGTAAATTATCGATAATATAATCCATTCATTATCGATGCGCCATACCTCGATCTATATACGAGTTTCTCCATTGCTGTGCCACTACAAAACTGGCATTCATCTAACGTCGATGTGCACTTAAACTTATGGCAATGCAACGAAAAATGCTCACCTTTTGATCTCTTTTTTTAAATCACAGAGAGAGTATGTGCACGCCGAAGTTCAGTGAATTCCGCAGTTGTGCCGGGACCAAAATGATGAAACACATTTAATGATTGAGGCATAACATATTGACAATGGCAGTAGTGCATGTGTGAGTAAACCATGAATTGACTTGTACAGTAAACCCAGATTATATGGAACCTAAGAAGGACTCGTAAAATATGTTCCACTTAACAGGAGCACCGTTCCCTATACTTAGAGATGAGCAGGGTTGTAAAAAACAAGGACGAAACCAATCACATTGGGGCAGTCATTTCATTCAGCAGTTCCGTTTACCAGATTTACCAGATTACCAGCAGCAGTTCCGTTTACCAGATTTGCATTTACTGAGAGTCTAGTATATTATTCAGAAACCAAATGCCTTAACAGTTATATGTAACATAACAACTCCCCCTCAACATGTGCCAGAATAATAGGTTCGTCTATTGCCTGGGCATGTGCAGATAAGTCTCCATGCGTCCTTCTTTTTCCGTCAATGCGCAACCTTGTAGTTGCTAGTTGTTATTCGTGGTGTCTTGATTTTATTCTTACATACGTGCTTGTATGCCCTGTCTTCAAGAATAAATATTTGCCCACTAGCTCAGCTCTTTTGTTATTCTGTGCTTGTTTTAAAGTGTGCCGGTCTTGGATTGGCGTCACAAAGCTCTAACCATTGGGAAATTGTGCTACTTTTCTCTACAATTATCGAGAGGACAATCAACGAACTTGTTCTTTTGCGAATCACTGTGCATTATTTTGCATGAAAACATTCTGTAAGATCGTCTTGCTTCTTGTACACCAACACGTTCATCAAGCCAAATAAGCAGATCCTGCACCTTTCATTGCACCATAATGGCAATGTGTGATGTTGATTGCTGATGCAAGCTCCGAAAAGCATTGCAATGATGTTTTGCATCGATTTCGGTGTTTTCATCACTGCTCTTCACTGCTCCAATTTCATGCCACCAATGACATCAAGCATGATCTTGACATAAGTGCAGCCAAAAACATCTACACTGTCATCAGCATCAGTGAAGTTGTTTGCTATACTGCCATACCAGATTGTTCCTGGGGTCACCATTAACTAAAAATTAATTGAAGCACCATTCTCCTCAGTCCTGAAGCAAGCTAGAGTCCTGAAGACAACCGTATGTGTGGGCTCATTGCATCACTTCTCTAGCAGTACTTATCTGCAAAGAGCTAAGAACACGTGCAAAACATTTGTTTGTTCAGTGCGCCCGATCTGCTTGAGTAGCATTAGGTTTGTGTAGGTAAAAGTCATTGTAAAGTGCAGCAACATTTCTTAATTTTCTGGTGCCGCAATTAAGTTGCACCTTAGTGTTTCACATTGTTTTCATTGCCTTCTTGTTCTGCCTGTGTCTTTGCAGGTTCCTTGCCTTTGGAGTCTTCTGAAATATACGATTCACTTGTTACGGTAAAAGGTGGACTGCATTCTTGCCGCCTGTGCACCTTTACGAGCAGGATAAGACGAGTCATGAGAGTGCACCTTCGCAAACACACAGGCGAGCAACCCCCTACCTTCCCGTGCCACTTGTGTCCTGCTGTGTTCAATCACGACTGCGACCTCAAGCGGCACTTGCGCTCTCACATAGGGGAACGTCCCTATTCCTGTACACACTGCACCTCATCCTTTACGCAGAGGTGCCATCTGAAAGTGCACCTGCGTACCCACACAGGAGAGCGTCCCTACTCCTGTGTCTACTGTCCTGCATCCTTCACCTCGAAGTACACCCTCACGACGCATTTGCGCGGCCACACAGGGGAGCGTCCTTTTTTCTGTGTGCACTGTGGCTCAACCTTTATGAAAAAGTACAACCTTAAGATGCACATCTCCCGTTGTCCTGCATTGAAGGAATCCTAAGGATCAGTGGTGCACAACCATATTTGTGGGGGAAAAGAAGAGTGGATTGATTAAACCCATTTTTATGAAAAAAGGCAATCTCTCATGTGCATAAAACTTTTCAGGGGTGAAGCTCCTCTTAGTCTGACCTTCGCATGCGTCGCGCGTAACCGACAGAAAAAGAAAACGAGAAAGAAAGGAAGGCAGTATCTCCAGAACAGTATAATAGATGGCGCTATCTTATAGAAGCACATACAAACTGCAGTTGAGTGAGGATATTCTATATGGTGCTGTACCCTTACTCTCTTAATGGCTGCTGCATGGGCTGTGCCTGGGTACGTGGCGATTGGGAACCTCTCTTAGTTTCCTGGATCATTGCCGTTGTTTCGGATCGTTTGTGGGTTGACATGAACAAAGCAGAGCGACGTGGCGGCTCGTGCTCGTTGGTGGGGCATGGACGAAACATAGTAGAGGGCCCCAGCGGCTCGTGTTCATTGCCAGACAGAGAAACATGCAGACACACTGAGAAACAGACAGATGGACGGACGGACGAATGGGTAGACAAACGCCCGGACCGACAGATGCTTCGCACCACTTATCATCATTCATTCTGTGGATATGCCGTGATTTTTTTATATGCCTTGGAAGTATAGCTTCTCATGGTGTATTCATAATTTATAAAGGTTTATTGAGAAACTCCTGAACCTCCTGTCGCATGTGGAAACTCTTTAAAACGCTTATGACATCCCACTGACATACAGACTGTAACATTTTTACCAGAAAATGTAAGAACAAAAATATTATAATTGTTGAATAACTGCTTCATATTCTTTCTCTTAGCATGACCTCTTGCGACAAAGAAAAAGGCTTTGAAAGGGCAGCACTCTTAGAGGTCTCCTGCTCACAACAGTGTATCACTCGGCTTTGGTGTAATGTTAATTATTTTTTTTGCACAACTTGATGGTACTGATTGGCACTGCTGGCAGCTTAACCTCTAATTCTCTACCTCTTACTGTAAGGGCAGTATGGCTGTGCAGGAGTTGTACTGCTATTGGCTTAAGTGGCGACTGTGGGGTCGATGTGCCGTCAGCAAAAAATCTGTGTTGTTTGTGAGCAAAACTTCGTATTAAATGCAAATAAGTAAATAATGAAAAAAATCTTCAGTCTGAATGAGAAATAAACTCATCTGTGTAACAAGCGGGTGTTTTACCATGGAAAAATATGCTTGTCACAAAAGTCGCCTATGAACATGTGCGGCGCATAGTGTTCTAAGGTACGTCATGAAAAGGTATTTTTCCACTGGCGTCAACGGTGAACATCATATAATTCCTCTCGAAGAATGGTACGCCATACAAACACATAAGCAACTTGGTCTTTGTTAGCTTGAGCTGTAGGAATACGAACCATGTAATGAAGCATCTGCGCTGCATGTCAGATCATATTCTCTTGTTATTGCGTATATTTTTAATGACTCCCCGTAAAGGTGACCGACAGCAGAATCTGAACCACAGGACGTTTCATCTAGGCACACATTAGACCGTCTGTGTACGTGGCTGGTGCTTTGTGTGCGAGTTGACTGTTCGCCAGTGAAGTGTGAATCACGGAAACAACCAACGCAAACGTAAGGATGCATCGAAACTGCTCCAGAAGTTGGGACCGGCGCCCGGTAAACCTTATATAAAACATTCCGATCCCGTAATTCAACAGGGTGCTGAATTCCCAAGAAGAGATCCATGCTGATATCTCATGACATGAGGCAGCGAACAGCGTGTCCAGAAAATCAACACCCCTGTCTTCATGAAGCTGCCGCTGACCCTTCTCGCCGACTCTCAAGGGTCATTTATAAACAGCGCCGGTGTTTAGAGACTCTGCTGTGCTCGGTTCCGAATGTACTTCACTTTAACTTGGTGCACTGCGAACTCTAATTATTGATTCTGGTCTTACTGCTTGGTCATCCATCTGTTATTGAGCATTGTCTCTACATACTGTAACTTTCCTGCATGCTTGCTTTACTGGTATCGTGAAATGTATAACTAGTCCACCTTTCTTTAAATGCATTATTAAATCTCTTGCTCTTCGTATCAAAAAAGACCTCCACTCCGTTATACCGGCGATTGGTGCAAGCCATACATCAGAGGCCCAACCTCGTGCCATGACTTGAAGGAGCTTGTGCTTCGGTCCCGAGTTGTGACAGTGCCAACGCGTGTGGTATTGCATAATAGAATCAGTAGGTAAATCTCACCATGTGTCAAAGCATGTGAATTGTTCAAGTAGTGGGTGGCTGCCCACCCATTACAAAGAGTGAATGTGCGCATGGCACCATGTGGATGCATAATGGTTACTTGGCCCATATGTAAAAAAAATAATTATGGTGTAGTGGGCATTTAAGAACCTTACTTGGAGTAGGCGTTTCAGAGTGGTTTAAAGTGGCCAATTTTACGCAATCAAACATTCCTTTGCATGCAACTTGTAGAAGGCAATGCGCACGATGTATGATTCTGCTATCGCGTTCTACCGTCAAAGGCAAAACTGAAGTGTCCCCCTAAGTTCCTCTGCTGCTTGTAATATGAGAACATTCTTTTATTATAGATGACTCTAAACATAAGTTTTCTGAATGAATTGGCAGTCGTCAATACAAATTGCGAGAACACCGTCAGACCCTGGCAGTGCTAGGCAAAGATACGGCAAAATTGTATCGTGATACGATACAAAATATATCGGCAAAAATTATTGGAGATACAGATATAAGATACTGCCACAAAAGTTGTATCCAATACGATACATGCCAAATTTATCTTAAGATACTTCGATATATCTGCAAATTTGTTATAGACATTCGTCTTGTAGTAGCGAACAGCGTGAAGGTCTGTTTGGAAATAAGATGCTTAACTTGGGTCAATTTTATCTTGAAGAAATGTTTCTTCCTATATCAAAAGATTTGTTCATCTTTGTCAAAGAAAAGTAGCTTACTTTTGAAGAACGTATTAGTGTTTGCTTTAGCTGCTTAAGAGGACAGCTCTCTAGACACTTCTCTGGCATTGATTCTTGTTGATCATTTCTGGAGTGCATTTCTCCAATTGATGGACGTCATTGCTGAGCTTGCCAAACAGTAGCGGCTTGCCATCAACCCACACGAGCTTCAATGAGAGGCGTTCAAACGATGGTGCAATTACTGGTGTGCAGCTTTGCCTTGTCTCTAAAAGATATTTTTGCAATGTTGAATTGCCAGTGTACAGCAGTAACAACGCTAGTAGCGGCACTTTTGTGGTGCATTGTATATATAAGTGTATACGTAGAGCACATAAACCTGCTATTACTTTCCATATTGTTCTTATCTGTTGACGTAAAGCATTCGTTACCTCTATACTATCCAGCGTGCAATCATTTTTTTCTTCAGGGAGAGAGCATCCACACCACAGAAACACCTCAGACGTATTGTATTGTCACGAGGTGGTCACTATGGAGAAGGCAGCAGTCGCTCTGGTAGAGATTAAACTCATTATTGGCCTAACTTGTGCCCAGAAAAGGTAGAACCCCAAAGTACGAGTGAAACGGATTGTACTCTGATAGCGGCAATAAATGTCGTCAGCTTTCGGTAATCTGATCATCTGAGGAACGCGTCTCGTTCTATGTATCAGTGATCGCCCCTTCCTGTGTTGTTACTGGTGCTCGCATACGCTCACCAATTAACTAGATTGCGAGCGTGCTGTACATAATGTGAATATCAAACCACGATATAATTATGTGAGATACAGTAATGGAGGGCTCTAGACATTTCAACTATCTGGTGTTCATTGACGTGCACCTAAAAACCCTCCTCAGTGGTCTAGTGGCTAAGGCACTCAACTGCTGACCCTAGGATGCGCGATCGAATCCCGGCCGTGGGGGCCTCATTTTCGATGGAGGCCACAACGCTTGAGGCCCGTGTGCCTAGATTTAGATGCACAATCCACGGTGGTCAAAATTTACAAAGCCCTCTGCAATTGAACATCTCTCATGATCGTATGGTGGTTTTAGGACGCTAAACCCCGATAATTGTATAACATGCACCTAAAAACACTAAGTACATGTGCCCATATTGCATTTCACCTCCTTTGTCATGCAGCCGTCGTAGCAGGAACTGCATGCAACCTTTGCAGAACAATCTGAGACAATCTCGAAGTTTACGAAATATAGTGGGGCAGCTTGCACCGAGCGATGAAAGCTTTTTGTGGTTTAGCCCCAATCACATACAAATCATCGCAAGACAATGCTGCTATTCACGCTGTTGCCGCCTGTAGATACTATGAGTGCTTGGCAATTAATAACAGTAAAAAAAAATAGTGATGTCTGAAAAAGGAAAACAGTGATAGCTAAAGCAGAAAAACTGTTTCGTTTCTAGCACTCATAGTGATCATGTTCAGATAGAAGAAACATGTGGTACTCCAATAGCTATGACAATTAAGCATGAAGTATAAAGTCACCTGTTAAGGTTAGACAGTGACTAAATCAGCACCTATGGAAAATTGCCTGAAATGGCTCGTGGGGATGTTAATAAGAAAAACGAGCCATTTGATATAACAAGCTTTCTTGAATCCCCTTTCTAAGGTATTTAACATTGCTGCTAATTACTCGCATTATTATAATTAAAACTCATTTTGGCCATTTTACCGAACATTAAGCAGAATGTTTGGTGTTGCATAATGAATGCACACCCACATAGTGACTTAACTGTTCCGCCTTCCCGGAAGAGTAAACTCAAGTAAGTATGTCAACAGTAGAAAAAATAGAGCGGTCATTTAAAAGTAAAGATAAACAGCTTATTTTGGTTGCACTTTTAAAAAAATCATATTGCATTCACCAGCATAGAGAAAAAAACAATTCAGAGCCAAAGGTATTGTATAAGGGTGCAAGAAAAAGAAAACTGAAGAAGTTCTTGTGCTAACAATCACATTATATCAAGAGCTCTTTGGAGAATTCGTGCAGTTGTCGCCACACATTTTGCGGTACGTTGTGCTTGCAATTGACTAAGGCAATGTTTCACGAAACTGGCACAACTAAAAAGAAAAAATATCGACAAAACAAAATGCACTTGGGCAAGTACACGAACGTAGCTGATGTCGGGACTGCAGGAGCTCTGTCACGTTGCTATGATCCACCAAAAGCAACGCGCACACCTCATCGCTTGCGTCACTGCCTTTAGTTTTTACTCAGGTGGGTTAGTGGCTTCAGTACTAGCTTGAGAAGCAGAGTTCAGTCAGCGATTAAGGGTTTGGGCCATAGGGTTGTGATTGCAGTGTTTTGTATCTTAAGATACACGATACATTGTCGGAAATAGGAATATTCGTCTAGTGAGACGTATTGCAATACAGGCACAAGATACCCGAAGGGTATTTTAGATAGTATCTAAGATACATGTGAATTGAAACTTGAGCTAGTTGACATGTATTCATCTAGATTTCAGCAACACACTTGGGGACAAGGACCGAGAAAAAAAGAATGTGCAAGGCACCTGTGTTGTGCACATGCTTTTGTTTTTAGCTAAAATCAAGATGAAAAGATACATGTATCTTCGATACTGACCAGCCTTGGACCCTGGCCACTCATGCATTGGGGACAGTGGTCAATTGATCTGGAGGGAACTGCAACGCAGACAAAGTACAGGCCAACATTAGAAGGCAAGCGTTTGTGTAAATGTTTGTGCTAGATCACTGTGCAACTGCAGATGTGTCTATTTGTTCTTGCAAGAAATGCATTGCACAAGCCTCTTCGGTAGAATCACTCATTTTTTTACCAGCGCATAGCAGCTGAATGCATTGTATTATTAAGACTCTGATGGTGATGTGACCATGCTTACTCGCTGCTGCATCTGACTAGTTATCTGAAACAAGAGAAGTTACAGTAGATGCCCTTGCTGTTGTGTTTGTCGGCTGAAATTTTGGAGAAAGAAAATATATTTTATTGCACGTAATGTTTTATTCTGCATAAATAGTGCCCACCTTTATGAAGCATTCGTTTTCAGCCAGGTTGTCGGCAAGGCACACTCTTGCTTTCAGATGCCTAATCAGCGCACAAGTTCATACACTGCATTAGAGACAACTCATTGAGCAAGTGAGTGGGAATTCATATTTTCATTGGTACAGGCTCATATGAATGAAAATAAAAAAATAAAAAAAGCACATGGCAGGCTCTGCCCTGTGCTTTTTATTATCTTCATCCTTGTCCACGTGAGCATCGCACCCATAAAAAAATGTTCATTCTGCACAACCTCGTCTTTCGGCATGGCGCACTCCGCGAGCTCTCAGTGACCGTGGGCGTTCCTTCTTGTCGGAACCTGTAGAAGCCCTCCTACGCTAATGCAACATCGTGCACCGAAACAACGACCGCATACCACCCCCAAACCAACGAAATGACCGAGCGATTTAATCGCACGTTGGGTGACATGCTCTCCATGTATTTTTCTGATCACCATACGAACTGGGACCGCATACTGTCATTCGTTACTTACGCTTGCAATGGCGCAATTCAATCGACGACTGGATTCTCCCCATTCTTCCTTCTTTATGGACGGGAACCTTCATCGTTCTTGGACACTATCTTTCTGTACCGCCCAGACCCTTCAGAATCGACAACATTGCCTGGCCGAAGCCGCCACATATGCCGAAGAATGGCGGCAGCTAGCACGTTCGCTAACTACGCACGATCAGGCTCGCCAGAAGCACTCGCATGAGCGACGCTCATGCCCTTCGTCAAACGCGCATGGAGCAATCGTGTGGCTCCACGTGCCATCGTCTGCCCCAGGCCTTTGCTCAAAGTTCATACCCAAGTATGACGGTCCGTACCGGATCTTGCGCCAGACTTCACCGGTCAACTACATAGTTGAACCTATTCAGCCACCTACAGATCATCGGCGCCGCGGGCGCGAGACTGTGCATGTCAGGCATCTAGAACCTCACTACGACCCACTAGTCCTGTCTGTGCCATAGGTCGCCAGGATGGCTCCTTTCGCATCGGGGAGTCAATGTAGTGACAAATACGGGCTCTAAAAACGACGAAGAAGACGTTTGTAGTGGCGAAGGCTCGTGGGGCTGCAGCTGCTGCTTAAACCGC